AGTTCCTTGTACCACGGTGATGGTCCAAGGTTAGAACCAATGAAAGAATAACACGAACACAGGTATGGAATACAAAGATATATTAAAACAGAAATATAATACAAAGAAGTAGAAGTATTAGTAATGACTATCAGATTTGGTTAGAGTGAACTATGTTGTCTCGACAAGTATCACTATTCAATGTCCTTACAATATGCTCTCAATTATCCCTCCTCGTCTTACAATCTCCTCCATACCTCTTGAGAGGCGCAGTATTTATAATGTCAGGAATAGTCCATTATTATTATGGGTAAGTTCCTATAACAAAAATATTGGTGGTTATTAGGAAAAAAATAGCATTTTTTTGTATAATTTTAAAATGATAAACCTATTCATTATAAAAGTTAGTAATTAATGACTATGTGCTGAAATTGAATTTAAATTGGATAATTCTTTGATTTTTGGTAATTTAAAAAAAGCGCAGACCCCAACCTCAATTTTCCTTGAGGATTTGTGGCCCCCAGGCTGGGAAAACTTGAAATCGCCATGTAGTGAAGAGAGGGTGCCGTATCAAAGTTTCGGTGGGGGGGATGATGGGACCCTAACGCCGGCTGTGGGGATACCCAATAGACATTGAGAACTTACAGTTTCTCTCTAAAAAAAGAAGAAGAAGAAACGAGCCTCACGGGGAACCCATGAATTTACTACGGCATTAATTGTCTATATGTGAACACGCACCCACCATACGATACACCAACACACTAAATTCTATAAAACGCACACATTTTACATGGCAAAAGCCGTTTGTAAGATGTGAGCAGTAATTGCGAGGCACCAACTACAACTGAAATAGTTGATGTCTTCATGTGCCATATCTTTTAGATTTCCACTTCAAGAACCTTGTATTTTGATATTTTCTGAAGAATGGTATTATTATTAGACACGATCTTAACATGTGGGAATCAATGAATGTATATTCTTGTCATTCCAAAAAGACATACTTTCATTCTTGCCATTGAGCTACTGATACCAAACTTCTACCTCTTCTACTCCCACCTCTTCTTCTTCTTCTACTCCCACCTCTTCTTCTTTTTCTACTCCCACCTCTTCTTCTTCTTCTTCTTCTTCTTCTTCTTCTTCTTCTTCTTCTGCCTCTTCTTCTTCCTCCTCCTCCTCTTTTTTCTTCCTCTTTTTCCTCTGCCTCTGATTCTTCTCCTGCTTCCTCTTCCGCTTTTCTCTTATTCTTCTCCCACTTCTTCTTCGTCATGGCCTTCTCCTTCCACCTCCTTTTCCTCCTCCACTTTCTCCTCCTCTGCTCCTTCTTCCTCTTTCTCGTCCTCCTCTTCCTCGTTGTCTTCTACTTTTTCCACCTCTTTTTCTTCTTCCTCCTTCTCCTATTCCCCTTCCTCTTCTCCCTCCTTACCCTTTTCGTGTTCCTCTTTATCTTCCTCTTCTTCTTTCTCCTCTTCCCCTTCCTCTTCTCCATCTGCCTCCTCCTCTGCTTGGTCCTATATTATATGAATAACGAATGTTTCTTTATAAGGACCTAATTAATATCACCATTAGATTTAGAGGAGGAGAACAGATACTACACTTTGATCTCATCTTGATGGCCTGGGAGTGAATAAAAACTGATATTACTATTACCAAATTACAAAAAAAAGTATTGTTTCCTTCCCAGTAAACTGATACTGACTGTAGTCCTGGTTATGATGATAAACTATATCTGGCAGCAAGGTCTCTGAGCAGGAGACTGGAGGTTTTGAAGAGTGTGGAACCACCTCTTAATTGCTGTTGTTCCCAGGTCTATGCTAACTCAGGTTAGTAGCACCTGTTAGGGTCCCAGCTATGGGCAAATAGTGAACTCCGAAACAAAAATAAAACACTATGAAAATATAAAAATTCATTTTTATAGTAAAAATATGAGCAATACATTTTTATATTGTAAAATTACCAACAATACATATTTTTGAAGTACAATGACCTTGCAGTACATTTTATAGTAGAATTACCGACAATACATTTTATAGCAAAATGACCAACAATCCATATTTATAGTAAAATGACCAACAATACATTTTATAGCAAAATGACCAACAATACATATTTATAGTAAAATGACCAACAATACATTTTATAGCAAAATGACCGACAATACATTTTATAGCAAAATGACCAACAATACATTTATGGCAAATGACCAACAATATTATTTATAGTAAAATGACCAACAATACATTTTATAGCAAATGACCAACAATACATTTTATAGCTAAAAATGACCAACAATACATATTTATAGCAAAATAACAAGGAAATATAGTAAAACAATATATATGCGTTGACTAACATATTTATAGTAAAATGACCAACAATACATTTTATAGCAAAATGACCGACAATAATACATTTATAGCAAATGACAACAATACAATAGCAAAAATGACCAACAATTTTATAGCAAAATGACTAATAAATACATTTTATAGTAAATGACCAACAATACATTTTATAGCAAAATGACTAACAATACATTTTATAGTTAAAATGACCAACAATTACATATTTATAGCAAAATGACCAACAATACATATTTAGCAAATGACCAAAATACATTTTATAGCAAATGACCAACAATACATTTTATAGCATAAAATGACTGACAATACATTTTATAGTAAAATGACCAACAATACATATTTATAGTAAAATGACCAACAATACATTTTAGTAAAATGACCAAATAATCATTTTATAGTAAAAATGACAACAATACGTATTTATAGTAAAAATGACAACAATACATCATACCAAAATAATATTTTATAGTAAATGACCAACAATACGTAGTTATAGTAAAATGACCAACAATACATATTCATATAAAAAATGACCAACAATATATATTTATAGTAAATGATCAACAATTCATTTTATAAAATGACCAACAATACAAAATGACCAACAATATTTAATACGTATTTATAGTAAAAGGCATACAATGGCGTAGTAAAAAAATATATTTAGCTAAAAAGCCATAAAATTTATAGTAAAATTTAAATTTAGCAAAATGATTTTTAATTGAAGGCACACAATAACCCTGTAGAGGTTGAGGTTGATAAACAAAATTAACCAAGCAAGCAACATGAAAGAACTTTTTCATGACATTAGTCCATATAATATCCTACAAGAGCACCTCAACATGATGTAATGGTTAGCAAGAAAAATTATGACTGGGTCGTGAGTTCAATCCTTACTGAGTGCCCCATATTTTCTGCCTTGTGCCACATCTAAGCTTGGCTTAGAAAATTACCATATAGTATCCTACAATTTCATAAAGAAATCAATCTGTATTCCAAAATGTTATGGCTGACGGATAGTGTTATACTGAAATATACCTATTCTATTGTTAATAGACTCACCCACATATAATAAGTAGTAGTAGTAGCAGTCGCAAAGTCGCTGAGTAAGTTGGTGAGTCAGTCAATGTCGGACACTAAAGTATCAACCACCACAACTAGATTGCTGCATCATTAACTATTATAACAAGTTCCTAACGTTTTGTCCGTCGAACCATTTTAGGACCGACTTTGTGAAATACTAGCCTCCACTGTGAAACTACTCTACAACAGATACCAAAAAGGTTTGTCCTCCGCATAGAATTCATTTCTTCAGTTCCTCGTCGCCACTGTTATGGTCTAAGGTTAGAACCAAGGAAGAACAACAGGAACACAAGAGTAGAATAACAAAGATATATTACAACAGAAATATAGTACAAGAAGTTGGAGGTGTTAGTAATGACTGTCCGTCTAGTTTAGAGTGAACTAATATTGTCTCGACTTGTTACACCATTCATTCATTATACCTCTTTAGAGGTGCAGTATTTATAGTGTCAGGAAGAGTCGATTATTGTTATAGGTAAGTTCCCATAACACAAAATATAACTTCAACAAAACTACAACATCAAATGCATATATCTCCACCTCTAGTAAGTATATCTACACAAACATGTATATGCACAAAAGCAGAGTATCATCTACCATGTATACAACTGTGAAAGCAGAATAACATATTTTTATTACTTCAATTAAATTTTGGCTTTAAATGACCCATAAGGCATTGATATTAAATAAACAAATCAATCGATTCATATCTGACTGTTCAAAAGTCTGTTCATCCTGTTGGTCAAAAAAATCATCAGCAGCAGATATGACTACATCGTCATTGAGATATCGCTTCCCAGCCATAATGTTTTTTTCATGTTGGGGAACAGATGATAGTCAAATCAACAGAATAGGGAAGGGGAACAAACCAGTTCAACGTCAGAGTCATGCTCAGCAGCCATTGAAATCAAGGACGTGTGTGCTGGAGGATTGTTCTGATGAAACAAGAAACCTTTCGTCAGTTCTCACAGGCTTTTGGTGACACTTTTGAAGATAGTCAATAAAACACAATTCCTTTTGCATCCTCACAAAACCAAGGTCATCACATTCCATGCAGACAGCGCCACCGAATGACTTCTTGGCATAACTGGTAATGCTATGTGAGGATATTAACTGCCTCTTCATAGGTCACTGCATTTTTGGGATGTAGAAGTCCCTAGCGTAGCAGATACAGGCAGCACAGGAAATGAAAATGTTGAACCGAATTCAACTTCCAGTCTAGTTCACTCACATAAGGGAAGCGTAACTATGTATAACTTCTACCCTCCATCTATGAGTTAAATAGCAGAGTAGACTGCATTGTCTTCTTACAACTGATACTTAGTCCTTTCTTCCATTTTGTCTCTACTACATTGGCTAGCATTTTCTTCTTGTGGCTGCCATCAAAATGTGTAGATATTAAGTGATATTCTCAGCATCCTTCTATAGAACCACATTTCTATTGCTTCAAGTTTCTTCTTTGTCTGTAAGGAGATTGTCCAGTCTTCACTACCATGTAGGAGATAGATAGATAGATAGATAGATAGATAGATATATCAACAATAGAATAGATAGATAGATATCAACAGCCTTAGATAATTAGATAGATAGATAGAAAATAAACATAATAGATGATATCAACAGCCTTAGATAGATGATATGATAGATAGATAGATAGATGACAGATAGATAGATAGAAAATAAGAACAGTCTGAAATAGATATGAACAACCTGATAGAATGACAGATAGATAGATGAATAGATAGATAGAATGATATCAACAGCCTTAGATAGATGAATAGATATGAATGAATATAGATAGATAGATAGATAGATAGAAAATAAACATAGATAGATAGATAAGAACAGTCTGAAATAGATATGAACGACCTGATAGATAGATAGATAGATAGATAGATAGATATCAACAGACTTAGATAGATAGATAGATAGATAGATAGATAGATAGATAGAAAATAAACATAGATAGATAAGAACAATCTGAAATAGATATGAACAACCTGATAGATAGATAGATAGATAGATATCAACAGCCTTAGATAGATAGATAAATAGATAACCAACAGCCTTAGATAGATAGATAGATAGATAGATACGAACAGACTGAGATAGATAGATAGATAGATACAAACAGACTGTGATAGATAGATAGATAGATAGATACGAACAGACTGAGATAGATAGATAGATAGATAGATAGATAGATGAATAGAGGACTAATATTAAATACCAGCTGTGGACTCTTTTATTTCTGACAAAATTTTCCTGTTTCTTATTACTTTGCTTAGCTTTTTGAATACACTTTTTCTTACTATTTACATTATTCAGACTATTGTCCTCATCTTTGTCTTCAATTCATATTTATTATAATATTTCGGCCGTTAGATAGTCCTTTCTTCCAGCCTTCTTCAGGTAGATAGAATAGATAGACAATAATAAACTGAGACCCTTTATTTTGCTCACTGGGATAGACTGTTCTAGTTAGTTCTCATGACATTTTTAAATAAAATTTCGGTTGCATTATCTCCTGATTGATAATCTCTCCAAGTTCTCCACTGCCATAATCGGGTATTGAACTCACATCTCTTTGGGTCTGTCACTGGATAAAAAGTAACTTGAGGACACATGGCACAGTGAATAAAGGCATTTAGTTAGATCCAGTGACAATAAAATAATGTAATACATATAAAGGAGAGAGAGAGACAAAATGAGGACAATAGATCCGAATAATGTAAATAGTGTACATAATACCATAGATCTCAGAAATATAGACAGATACTGAAGGATAGGATAAATATGGCAACAAAGATAGAGGCAATAAACCAATAGATAGATAGAAATAGTGTATAGAGGACAGGATAGATACCTTATCTAGATAATAGATAGACAGAAGATGAGAGGAGAGGAGAAATATGGCAACAGAGATAGAGATAGATAGATAGATAATAATGTAAATAGTGTACATAATACCTTATCTAAAAGAAATATAGACAGAAATACTGAAGGATAGGATAAATATGGCAACAGAGATGAGAGAAATAGTCCGAATAATGTAGAAATAGATGTACATAATACCTTATCTCAGATAATAAAATATAGACAGATAAAGAAGGATCGGAGAGAAGAGAGAGAAAGAGATGAGGACAATAGACCGAATAGTAGATAAATAGATAGATAGACCTTATCTCATAATAGATAGACAGATACTGAAGGAGAGGATAAATAGCAAACAAAGAGGAGGACAATAGTCCATAGAATAATGTAAATAGTGTACATAATACCTCATCTCAGAAATATAGACAGATACTGAAGATGGATCGATAGATAAATATGGCAACAAAGATGAGAGGACAATAGTCCGAATAATGTAAATAGTGTACATAATACCTCATCTCAGAAATATAGACAGATACTGAAGGATCGGAGAAATATGAACAACAAAGATGAGATAGACAATAGTAGATAATAGATAAATAGATAGCACAATACCTCATCTAAACAGGCATCTTTTAGATTAGAAACACCTTCAAATTTCAATATCACAATTTCTGTCCTCTAGTTAAACCCTTCCTATATATTTAAATCTTTGTACTTGCTTGATTTTGGACTCTTCAATTCATATTTCACTCCTGGAGATATTAGATAGATAGATTTACTGCCAGTCATAGATTCTGTCTTTTTACAATTGATAGTTAGTCCTTTCTTCTCACTTTCCTGTACAACCTTTCCAAGTTGTTCTTGCAGTTTCTTTTCTGTGTCTGATATCATAACTATGATCTGGATATCTTCAGATCATGATAGACAATAGATAAAGAGAGAGAGAGGACTTCTGATTCAGAAAGATCATCTTAAAGTATGCTTAGAATAAGTCAGAGGAGAAAACATACGATAGATAGATAGATAGACAGATATTCTAGAATTCATTTTCTATCCATATGCAGGCATCTGTTCCAAGTTCTCAGTTAATCTAATATCTTTCCCAATTAAATAAAATTTTTCCTAGCAGTTTAAAGAGTTTTTTCGTGTCGTACCTTAACAGCACGTAATCATATGCAGTAAAAGTGTTTGATCAAAATTGGGTGCTAAAAATCTGATTGCATGATCAAATGTAATCTTTTCTCTTTTGTAGAAGGTACTTGGGTGAATCAATAACTTTTCCTGCCACTCACATGATCATTATTATATGACTGGCAATAGATTAATTGATCCACAACTCTATACAGAAATAGATTTGAACAGATAGAGAGATAGATAGACAATAAACAGATCAAAATAGATAGATAGACAGATAGATAGATAATAAAAAGGAACAGAATATGACAGACTGATAGATAGATAGATAGATAAAGAGAGAGAGAGAGAGAGAGAATGAACAGACCAAAGTAGATAGATAGATAGATAGATAGATAGATAGATAGATAGATAATAAACAGGCATAGATAGATAGATAGATAGATAGATAAGAGAGAGAGAGAGAGAGAATGAACAGACCAAAGTAGATAGATAGATAGATAGATAGATAGATAGATAATAAACAGGCATAGATAGATAGATAGATAGAGAGAGAGAGAGAGAATGAACAGACCAAAGTAGATAGATAGATAGATAGATAGATAGATAATAAACAGGCATAGATAGATAGATAGATAGATAGATAGATAGATAGATAGATAATAAACAGGCATAGATAGACAGATAGAACAAACTGAGGTAGATAAAATCAGGCTGAGATAGATCGATAAATAGACAGATAGGAACAGACTGAGATAGATATGAAAAGACTGAAATACATAGGTTGATATATATAAAAAAACTGATAGACATGTAGATAGATAGATATGTAAAGATTACAATAGATACATAGATATAAAAAGATTAAGATAGATATATACAAAAAGATACGAAAAGACTATGATAGATGGCTAGATAGATATGAAAATCCTAACATAAATAGATAGATATGAACAGCCTGAGATAGATAGATAGATTGATAGATAGATAGATATCTCAAAGCCTGAGATAGATAGAGAAAGAGAGAGAGAGAGAGAGAGCAGAATATACTTAGAGAGAGAGAGAGAAAGGACAGGATAGATAGATAGATAGATAGATAGATAGATATGTAATAAGGCTGAGATAGATCAATAAATGGATAAGAGCAGGCTGAGATAGATAAATATGAATGGACTGAGATAGATAGATAGATATATTAAGATAGATATATACAAAGAGATTATGATAGACATAAAAAACTTAAGATAGATAGATAGATAGATAGATAGATAGATAGATAGATAGAGAGGGAGATAGAAAGGCATATAGAAGGCCTGAAATAGATAGATTGATAGCTAGATAGCTAGCTAGATAGATAGATAGATATGAAACGATTGAGATAGATAGATAGATAGATAGATAGATAGATAGATAGATAGATAGATGAACAGGCTGAGATAAATAAATCGATACATACATACATACATACATACATAGATATAAAAAGATTAAGATAGATAGATATAAAAAGCCTCAGATATGAACAGCCTGAGATAGATATGAACAAAATGAGATACATAGATAGATATTAAACAAACTGATATATATATATATATATATATATATATATATATATATATATATATATATATAGATAGATAGATAGATAGATAGATTACATTATTTACATTATTCTAACTGTTATCCGCATCTTCATTGCCATATTCTCAACATTTCAGCGATTGATACGCCCAGTTTTCTTCATGTGATTGGAATTTCAAACTGAACCCTTTATTTCATTCACCAGGGTAGATTGTTCTAGTTCCACTTGCCATGCCTCTTCCGGATGTCGCAGTTATTTCCCTTTAACTCAGCCCTCCAAGTTTGGTTCATCATTGCTGTGGCCTGGAATTGAACTCACAATCCAAAGTCTTTATCCACTGGGCCACGTGTCCCCGACGACATCTGAGCATGAATTTTTACAGACTTATAAACCTAATGTCTCGGCAGCCATTTTTACCAGTGCTCATATTGAAATTTTTTCTGTTCTGATTATTGCATTTTTTACCAGAGTTTACATTGCACTTTTTTTTGTTGTTATTCATTGTTTTTCTCTTGCTCTCCTTATAACTGGTTCCCATATTGTATTCATTTCTATGCTTGGTCGGCTCAGGAGATTTTTGTGGCCTAGCATATGTGCTGATTCCTTAAGTTTTCCCATTTTCCAATGATACCCTCTGTTTATTATTTCAGTTTTATCCCATTGGGGATGGTGATCTCCCTTTTCTACCCATATATGGTCAGCTATACCTTTTTTTTATTTCCCCTTGTGCTACAGCTTTATGACGTTCTTGTAGTCTTAGCTTAAAAGCCGACCTGCTTCTACTTGTGTTTCTTACCACAGCTGCATGTGATGCCATACACACAGTCCTTAGTCATGTTCTCCTCTATGGTGGTGGTGGTAGGGGGGTCTTACTTGGAAGAGGTGTCAGCAAAGTGTTGAATCACTTTTGAATGTTGTCCTGATGTTATACTGAGCACAGATCCTTTGTATTTTTTCCAATAATTCCTTCACATACGATAGGCAGACTGAAACTATTTTCTGAGTGTTGTTAGCCTCTTATACCCTTCTATCCCAGTTTCTTGGAGCTGCTGCCATGTACCCAGGGTAGTTTTATTGTTGTAGGGTACTGCTTATACTGACCATTTCTTGTTCATATGTCTCTGGGTCACCACTTATGACTTTCGCTTGATGTTGTAAGCAGCGGATGATCCTTTTCTTTACACTGTATGGATGGTGGGAGTTGAAGCTGAGGCAATGTCCGATGAATGTTGGCTTGCAGTATATGGATGTCTTGAACACCTGCTCTGTTCGAGTGGATAAAGACGTTGGTTAGAACCAGTGACTAGACTCAAGGAGTTGTGAGTTCAATACCAGGCCAGAGCAGTGGTGAACCAAAAACATGGAGAGTTGAGTTAAAGGGAAATTACTGAGACATCAAGGAGAGGCATGGAACGTGGAACTAGAACAATATCCCCCAGTGGATGAAATAAAAGGTTTGGTTTGAAATTCCAGGCCAAAGCATGCAACAGCCGAAATGTTGCAAATATGGCAATGAAGATGAAGATAACAGTAATCATAATACCTCATCCCAGATAGATAGATAGATAGATAGATATGAACAAAGATAGATAGATAGATAGATAGATAGATAGATAGATAGATTGAACAGACCAAAATAGATAGATAGATAGATAGATAGATAGATATGAACAGGCTGAGATAGATAGATAGATAGATAGATAGATAGATAGATAGATAGATATGAACAGGCTGAGATAGATAGATAGATAGATAGATAGATAGATAGATAGATAGATAGATAGATATGAACAGGCTGAGATAGATAGATAGATAGATAGATAGATAGATAGATAGATATGAACAGGCTGAGATAGATAGATAGATAGATAGATAGATAGATAGATAGATAGATAGATAGATGTGAACAGACTGAGATAGATAGATATGAACAGACTGAGATAAATATAGATACACACACTCACACACATATCAAACTCATCCGTGTAGTGTTTTGTGAAATGAAGCATTTGGCTATTGAAAAGTTGAATGCTATTTCTTTAGTTTAGTATAGGAAAAATAAACTACGAGAGTATGGCACCTAGTGAGAATCCAAGTCCCTGTTATTGCAACGATTTGTGAAACTAGCTTGTTAACTAATTACCACTTTAATAGCAAGGCACCCAATAATTAATTGATGCTATGTTTTGCAGATAGACCGACTGCAGATGTTAGACATTAAAACAAAGCCAATTAGTGATACAAAGCATTATTGTTTATGGCATATGAAATGCAATTCAGAAAACCTGGCTAGAAATTCCCCTCCGTCCTATAAATTGATGAATCTCTAAAACAACTATGGATTATATCTTTGGATTGGAATAAAATGTGTTTCATTGAAGATATTCCATATTTCCAATGAATTGTTTATTCAAATCAATTAGGATAGAATTTTCTAATTCAACACATTGTCTTTTGGTAATGGAATGGATTTTAGGATAAAAGTTAAGAATTCCTCTACACCCTTCCCATCATGCAACTGTTTCAACATAATGGTGCACTTACCTATGTGCAGTGTGGGAAAAATGAAATAAGATCAATAAATAAAATAATAATAAATAACTGAGCACAAATTAATTCCTCCACAAAAAAGATTCTCTACTCTGAACTAAAAAATATTAAGCAGACTTTTATAATGCCCATTTTGACTTTGTAAATCACAGATACAATAATAGTAACGGCATGAAAAATACTCAGTCAAACACTGCTAATTCCCATATATATATATATATATATATATATATATATATATATATATATATATGTGTGTGTGTGTGTGTGTGTGTGTGTGTGTGTGTGTGTGTGTGTGTGTGTGTGTAAAATATATAGAAAATAGGAAAGAACTGTTAGGTAAATAATCCAAAGTTCTTTAGTATTTTGTTATTATTTTTAAAAAATAGTGCTCGATACAAAAGTAGAGCATAAATATAATTATTTACTTAAAAATATGATTCCAACTCGCGACATAAGAGATCTCATGTTTCAAAGCAAGAGCCGAAAACTTCAATATAATTAATTGGATTCCCAAAAAAATTTCACTTGAAGATGGAACAGAGCTTGGTACTTTAATTCAATTTAATTCAAATAATTATATTGAAGTTTTTGCCTCTTGTTTTGAAACATGAGTAATCTTATGTAGCGTTTGAATCATATTTTTAAATAAATAATTATATATATATATATTTGTTTTGTGATGCCTGTTTGTAGGAGAGGCTTTGTAAATCATAGATACAATAATAGTAACGTCTTCAAACAATACTCAGTCAGATGCCACTAATTGCAATTTACACGTCACGTGATGTAATTATTTCAAGATGAGGTCAACTGTGCTTGCTCTCTGGTGATTTGTGTTCAAACCCAAGTGTTGGCAGCAACACTTTATTCCTCTATGACACAGACTCTCGTTAATAATGACTTCCCAAACCACATTGTAGATGAACAAATAAGATGATATATAAAAAAACCTCTACACACGTCAAAAAGAATACAGGCTGTCCATAAAGTTCGTGTGCACTTTAAAAATGTATAACTTTATTTGTATCTGCGATAGAAATAATTTGCAAAAAGGATTAGAAAGAAGTAAATCTATATTTTTTTAGGTTTTATTGAAATTTTATTTAAGTTTCCACATGTCCTCCATCATTAGCAATACAAATGGTAATACGATTTTGCAGTTCACGGAAAACATATGTCAACTGATTTACAGTAATGCCTGAAATCACATTAGTTATTTTAGCTATACTTAAAACTAGGTACATTAAACTTTATAACATTTTTTACAGATTATTTTTATCGCAAATACAAATAAAGTTATAAATTTTTTAAAGTGCACACGAACTTTATGGACACCCTGTATAATACTTCCTCAAAGGACACTAAATATATCAAACTTCTATATTGTAACCAGATGCATGCTAACTCCAAACAGAATGAGAAAATCATAAAAAAAGACATTCATACTAATTTACATACAAATTTATATATATTATTGATGATTAATGGATAACTGCAAAATGGAATTTAAAATATGTTTGTGTTTATTGACAGCAAACAATAAAACATGTAGACAACACCCATGTATACAGACCCCCAAAACACACTTTACACCTTATAATCAAACTTGTAAGTGACAAATTATTTTCCACCCAACAATCATTCTCACGCAGATGAAATGTCGCTAGTCTCTCACAGATCTAACATTCTTTAGTTTCACCAATTCTAATCTTCATGGCTAGGACCTGATCCGCCATATTATGTGCATTGTAACGAGCCATCCTCATTCAAACTGTATTCCATTGGTGAGAAGTAAGTTCAAACAGCTTCATTCCATGAACCACTGCTCTGCAGAAATGGCTCCGAAGAAGATGTTTCCAGATCCCTACAACCATAACCAGTTCAAATCTAGGGTTAACTGTTATCTTTCCCCATCTATCTGCATAAACTGTGCCTTTGACTCTGTAACTCTCTACCTCGAACGGCTCTCAGGCCTTGTACAGAGTGAAGTGCACTGTAAAAAAACACAAATAAACAGTAGATGGAAGGATATAAAATGATCAAACCTTATAGAAAAATTATCTAACAAATGAATTAAAAAAAAACCACCTTCACACTAAAATCTGTTATTGAAATTAAACGTGGACTATTGACGCCATATCTGGGGTGAAGCTGCTCAATCCTCACTTA